TGCTGATTTACAAATGTCAGGCCCTCGTGCTTATCCCCTTGAGGAGATGATGCTGTGGGGTGGAGAGGGGGCTCGTTTTGTGCCAGTGTGAGTCCATCGTGGTGTTCAGGTGCCAAAGGGAGAGGTTGGATGTATTGGCTTTGCCCCAGCAAGTCCTGGGCAGTGGCGGTAGCTTGGTTCTCTTACAAATGGTTTGGGTTGGAGGAACCTTAAAGGCCATCTCATCCCACCCCCTGCCATGGGCAGGGATACCTTCCAGTATCCCAGGGTGCTCCAAGCCCTGTCCAGCCTGGCATCAAGCACTTCTGGGGATGAGGCAGCCACAGTTTCTCTGGGCAACCTGAGCCAGGGCCTCCCCACCCTCACCGGGAAGAATTTCTTCCCAATTTCCCATCTGAGTGTGCCCTCTGTCAGTGGGAAGTCATCCCCCTTGGCCTGTCTCTTCAAGACCCTTGTCAGAAGTCCTTCTCCAGCTTTCTGCACCTTTGCAAGAGGGAGGTCCCAAGCTGAGAAGCTACTTAAAAATCAGAGGGGGTGAGATGCTCTTTAAAATACAAACTCAGCTCATCCCTGAGTCTTTAATCTTTTTTTTTTTTCCTAATAAGGTTCTTTATGACCCTTGCATTTCTCATCCTAGGACAGAGGTGTGTGTACATATATATTTATCCTGCTGATGTTCTGGATAGAAACACACCTTTGACTTGTGCCCAGCAAAGCAAAAACCATCTCACCATCAAACTCACAAAAGCGGCACAAAATGCAGCTTTCACCTGAGATACTGATTCACCCACACGAGCCTCACCGTTTGTTCTGCATCCATTTTTAATATGTCCCCTCCAAAGGCAGAAATGCGTGTACAGCAATCGTGTCAGCTGAGTTACATGGCAAAAAAAGGCTTTTAAATGGATGTCTTTAAAGTGATGCCTGTTCCAAGGACAGTAAAAGGCTTTGCTGGTGCATGGAGGGTTGGTCTGCTGCCCAGAGGAGTCCAAGATGGGATTTGCAGGAGCAGGAGTGGAAACTTCAGCCCCAAATGCTGTCTGGAGATGTTCACCACAATTTTTTTAAAAAAATTTCATTGGCATTGTCTGTTAACACCCATCAGTGGTTGAAGTATAAAGGATGCAGAATCCAGCAGTGCCATGGAAGCTTAATGTGATCAACTAAAATATAATTAACAGCCAATTATTTCAGTGGGAATGGTAGTTTTCAACAATTGGTCTGCGAAATGTTTAAATTGCTTTCATTTCATCTCTGCCCACTTGCAGCAGGTTTGGAAGGTCTTGGAATGAGTGATGGGGTTTGTTCATGCAAGGCAATATCTCCTTCTCCTCTGGGTAGTCAGGAATTACAGAAAGCACCCAATTCCCCTCCCCCCCCCCCCCCCCCCCCAAAAAAAAAAAAAAGGTTAAAAAGAGGAGGGAAAAATTAAAAGGGACAAAAATATTGGGGGAAAAGTACTGTGGAAGCTTTTCACATTGATGTTGTTCCATTTAGGAGACGATTCCTAATGGCAGATTTAACTTTACACCCTGATATTGTGATGCTTCCAAGGGTGAACTGCAAAAAAAAAAAAAAGCCTTTAAAAATATTCTCTTGTCCTGATTGCTTTTGCATCATGCTGAGGGGTGTGTGGAGTCCCTTGTGAGGGGCACTGAGCCCTGCTCCCTGCTAGAGAGGGGTGATGCTCACTGCAAACTCCTTTGCAGCTTCGAGTACAGGCACAGGTAGAGGCACAGCTCCATCCAGCTGACAGGAATCACATGGAAAGCCTCCCTCAGCCATCTGGATGTGGAAGAAACAGGGGCTGAGATGAGGTTCCTGAATAATTGACCCCATTTTCCCAGCTATTGGAACTTTCCTGTAATGGTCTCTGAGAGCTGCCTGCAAACGGCACCTTTCGGGTCATTCTTTTAGGTACTTAAACCTGGCAGAGCAGCAGGGGTTTTCTCCCCCCTGTTTTAAAATGAAGCTAAAATTTCCCTTTCAAGCTGAGTCTCTTAGTGCAAATTGTGCCAATAACATGGGATTTCTCCATAGGACCCTTGTGAGCAGGAGAGTTTGGATGGAAGCTTGGAGAAGAGTGATGGAGAGCAGATGCTCTGTGCTGGGGGGGAAGTGCTTTGAGGGGGAAAATTGGTGTGATTTTGGTGGGCAGAATTGTGGGAAGCATTGGAGTGATGGAAATCCTTTATACAAATGAGTGTCATTACAGGTTTGTGCCCAGAAAATTTGTGGCTGCCCCATCCCTGGAAGTTCCATGCCAGGCTGGACAGGGCTTGGAGCACCCTGGGATACTGGAAGGTGTCCTTGTCCATGGAAGGGGTGAAACAAGATGAGCTTTAAGCTCCCTTCCAACCCAAACCAGTTTGTGACTCCATGACATTGGCAGGAGCCCTGAGAGGGAGCTGGAAGGAGGGATTTTCCTATCAAATCCTGGCTGCATGGGTTGTACTTTCCAATTTTATATATATATATATATATATATATATTTAAACCGGATTTGGCTTTGCCATATATATCATAATGCATATGTAGCAAATACAACTATATATTGCAAAGCATAATCCTTTTTTCTACATATATAGTTTCTACATATATATATATATATATATATATATATGTCTATCTCAAATTATGTGTGTAAAACAGCAAGAATTTTGGATATATGGCTGATCAATAATTCAGGTTCTCTAGGATTTGGCTTGCAGCCAGCAGCGTGAGGAGCATGGTGCTGCATGTTTCTCTCCAGATTACATCTGTAGCTTCTCATAGATCTCAGATTTTAATCCTTCAGCAGTTTCTGCCTGCATCAGGAGCCGAGTGCTAAGTGGGGATGAAATTCCCTTGTTGCCTGTTTTGGAGAAGAGATGCTTTTCCATTTTTTCAGTGTTTCTAACCGTGAGCAGAGGGCATCAGTGCATTTTTGGAGAGCTGCACTGGGCAGGGTATTACAGCACCTTGGGCCATGCCCAAGGACCCCTCTGGAATTCTTTGCTGCAGAATTCCCCCCGGGCTCTCTGTCCTTCGTCTTGTTTTCCCTCTCCCTTTCCCAGATCACTTCCTGCTGTGTGGGGATTTTCTTGGTTCCCACCAAAATGCTGCAATTTGCAGGAATCCATCGGGATCAGTCAACCCTGTGCAAGCTGCCCTGCCTCCGTCCTCATCTGCTGGTTCATTTTTTTCCCAGGAATAGCCCTTGATGAAGTGGCATGTAAGGAAAGGTGAAAATGAGTTATCAGTGGGGGGAAAAAAGCAATTTGTTGCAGCCAGGGGTATTTTGTGGGGCTGCAGGGGGCTTTCTGTGGCTGGGGAAGGCACTTGGTGGGTCTTGCACACAAAATACTCCACCATGTGTGAGTCCTTCACATCCTCCCAGGGCTCCCAGAGGCTGCAGGGGACACGCTGTGTTTCTCCCATCCCTGGGGAAGATCCTGTTGGCCTTGGCCTCCCCCAGTTCTTGCTTTTTGCACGGAGCTCAAGAAAGCACTTCGGGCTGCACCAAACCCCCCAGCCCGGAGCTCGACTGTTCCTCATTAGTGACTTTATTGCTAAATAATTTACAGAATGGGGCCTTGCCAGTTTTCGTTCGGGAAGCATTTCAAGTATGTGCAGCAGATTTTCTGCCTTCCTGGCGCAGCTGGCGGGGGGAGCTGCCTCTCCCTGTCCTGCCGCCGGCGTCACCTCCCAGCCCGGACAGGAAACGGCCCCTGCACGTGCAGAGGGAGAACAAGGGGAGAAATGCCCCTGTTCCATGTCCACTTGGTGTCCTCCAGGCTCACTGCTACTCGGGGGCGCTGGGGAAAGGACACAAGTACAGTGGTTTGGAGAGGAAGTGTTTGGGTTTGATTTCTGTTTCGTTTTTTCTGGTAACTGTGACGTGTGTGCTGATGGGGGCATTTTCTGTCCCCGTGTCCGTGATGCCAACTCAAGAGGATGTGGATGTCCCAGCCCTGGAAGTGTTAAAGTCCAGCTTGGACTTAGAGCAGCCTGGTCTAGTGGAAAGTATCCCTGCCTATGGCAGGGGGACTGCAGGGTCTTTACGGTGTGGACTTAGAGCAGCCTGGTCTAGTGGAAAGTATCCCTGCCTATGGCAGGGGGACTGCAGGGTCTTTACAGTGCCTTCCAGTCCAAACCATTCCGTGATTCTATAATCCAGTGGGGACTGCAGGGTCTTTACGGTGCCTTCCAGTCCAAACCATTCTGTGATTCTATAATCCAGGCTGGGATGTGAAAGGCCTTCTCTCCACCTGCTTTTAAAGGGGAGGAAAAGCAATGTCAGACTCAGAGGGAGGATTGCACTGGCACCTGCACAGCCTGAAAGTGTTTTGCGGGATGAGGGTGGTGGGTGCAATGTGGAAATAGCAGAAAAGCACTTAATTACACTAAACAGTGGGTGCAGCTGTAGGAAATGAGGTGCTGGAGCTTTCCTCCAGTCCCTCATGTGGAGGGGATCCCAGCTGGGTTCTGCCAGGAAGCTCCTGCAGTGTAGCTGCTTGGAGGAGTGAGCAGTCACTGGGTGTAAATCTGCAAAATTCAGGATTTGAGGCTGTGGATGGAAGCATCATCTTCCCTTTTCCAGTCTCACAGTGTTTTGTTGAGTGTGCCCTGCGCATGTGGGTGGCTGGAGGCAGAGCTGAGATGTGTGGGAGCTCAGGAGACTCTGTTGGACCTCAGCCCTGTCAGCGAGTGGTTTGGATAGGAAAGTCCTTCCTGTTTTTTTCTTACTATTACTATTACATACTAACATCTATTTTTATTTGTTCAATGCTGAAGCCATCACCCAGTGGAGGCTCCCCACCTCCCTCCTAGTGCCTTCCCATCACTTCCATCCTCCTCCAGCCCCAGGTGGTGCAGGTTTGGGCTGTGCAGAGCAGTTTTGCCAGCAGGGAGGGGCTGCCCCAGCAGCGTTTCCCCGGGGTTTGGGTTTTTGCAGCAGGAGCTGGGGCTGTGCTGGAGCTCTCTCTCACTTCCTCACATTGTGTCCCTTCTTCCTCCAGCGCTGCTGCGGGAGGAGGTGGCCCAGCTGCAGGAGGAGGTCCACCTGCTCCGGCAAATGAAGGAAATGCTGACCAAGGACCTGGAGGAGACACACGGCAGCAAGTCCCCCGAGGTGCTGTCGGCCACCGAGCTGAAGGTGCAGCTGGCACAGAAGGAGCAGGAGCTGGCACGTGCCAAGGAGGCTCTGCAGGGTAAGGGCTGTGCCTCCCGCAGCTGCACGTCTCCCCTGCAGTATTTGCAGGGAAGGCCCTGATGAAGGGAGAAATGATGAGGAGGAGTCTATCTTATTAGAAGGCTAATTCATTACTTTGTTATATTATTCTGTACTATATTATATTACATTTAAACTGAATCTGCCCAGTACTCAATTGCACACCTTGCACAGAATTTCGTGACTGTCAGCTGACAGTCCTGACACACACACGGATTCAATGGGTCAGTGAATCAAAACACTCACACCAGAATTCAATTATTAATTCCCTTCAGGTAAAGAGTCTTTCACGATACATTCCACTTGTGAGCACAGGAGCAGTAAATGAGATAAGATTTTTTTTTTCTTTCTCTGAGGTTCAGAGAATCTAGAAATATTCTTGGGAAGAATTGTGCCTTTCTTTTCTCTGTGAAGAGAAACGTGGTGACACTCCCCACCACCCTCATTCTTGGGAAGAATTGTGCCTTGCTTTTCTCTGTGAAGAGAAATGTGGTGACACATTTTAACTTTTAACACTTTTCACTTGGGCTCTGCAGAGTGCATTCATCAGGTGCTCCTGCTGGGGGTTTGGTGTCCCTGGGACCCCCCTGCTCTCCTGCCCCAGCAAGGGGTGGTGTGGAGCTGGGAAGGACTGGGGTGAGGGCTGATTGCAGCACTGCAAAGGAATTCCTCCACAGCTGTAGAGTAGAGCCAAGGCAGCAGCTGAAATGCAGCTGGTGATGGGGTTTGGGTTGGATTTGAGCCCCTCAGACTTGCAGGAGGAAAGCTGTGAGTTTCCTGGTGACTGCAACTTTCCTTGTCCTGCATGGGGTTACCTCCAGGTGACATTCAGGGTCTCCTCCTTCCTTCATGGCTGCCTTTGGGGGTTTTTGTGGCAGCTGGGACTGTGCTCCCCCTTCCTTACCAGCACAGCAAGCCCCGGGACTGGGGTGTGTGGAGCAAAATAAAACATTGCAGCTTTTCTGCTCTAAACCCAAGCTGACAATAAATCCAGGCAGGATGGTTTGTTAGCTGGAGCCAGGGGATGATCCTGAGCAGGGAAGGCTCTCACTCGTCAAGCCCTGGCAGCGCCGTGGCTCTAAATATCATCTCAAATCCCCAGCATACCGAGTATAACTTGCACTTGTCAGCTCATATTTGAGGATTATGAGGAGAAGCTGTCAAAAGTTTTCAGGCTCAGAGGCTGAGCAGCACGTGGGGAGCTGTGGGGCCTCTGCATCTCCCCCTGTCCAGGATGCTGAGATGCTCCGAGGCGCAGGGAATTGGGCTGAGTCAGTATTTGGGGAAAGCACTTCAGGAAATTTTGTTATCACTCTCTGATGTACAAAAATATCCCTATAAATCAGCAACAGACAAAATACCTCCAAACTCCTGCCTCCCCCCACACCACCAGTGCAGCCTCAGGCAGCAGGAAATGCTTTGGGTTTATAGAACTGTAATTGGAGGAGAAAAACCTTAATTAGGGAATATTGGCTCCGTGTGGATGGGGCGAGGGGGAAGTGCTGATAAATGCAAAATGCAGAAAAGCAGAACCATTATAATGCTAGTTACAAAAAAAAAAATAAGAGTAAGAAGTCATCTCAGAAGCTGCAATGCTTCTGTATGTGCTTCTGTGGAGGATAGTACAGAGAAAAAGTGAGTTTGGCTTGAAAATTGTGAGTATTTAAAGCATATAATGTTGGGCTTTTATTGGGCCTTTATTTGCCAATATTCAAGCCTCTGAGCTTGGTTTTCCAGGATTTCTCTGCAGGTGTGAAGAATCTCAGAATCTCAGTTGACACTTGGATGGGCACACAGCAAGAAGCTTTTTTCAATTGATGCTCCTTCCCTGTCCTGCAATACTGAGAAGCTTTTGTGGTTTTGGGAAAGTTGTCCAGGCTGGATCTGGGCTGGAGGCTCTGGGCAGCAGAGCAGGCTTGGCAACAGTGACTGAGATGGATAACTTGAAAACGAGATCAGCAGCTGGAGGGGGAAAAAAATCTTTTTTCCTTTCTGTGAAAAATGGTCCAGGGAGAAACGTAGCCAAAAGTGGAGGAAAAACGGCGCCTGGTGGCTGGTTCTGCCAGGGGAGATGGATCTGCTGATGGACACACTGGGGAAGTCACGGCTCTGTAGTGAGGAACTGCAGGATAAGGCTGTGCCAGGAGCACAGGGAAACTTGGCCACACTGCCCTGTAGTTTAGGGATCTGTGTCAGCTGTGTCCTGCAGCCAGAGCACCTGCCAGGAGCAGCTCCTCCTCACAGCCTGCACTGCTGCATCCCCAGTCCCACATCCTCACCAAAGGCTGCCCCACACCCAGCAGCAGAGGCTGCAGCAGCCCACGATCCATGGTGGGTCCTGTGGAATGTCATTAGCAGATAAATTATATGGAAATCTGTCACTGTTGCTGGCTCTGAGCCTGGAAGTGCAGTGCAGCTGGTTCAGATGGATCTTGGCTCGCCGGGCTGTGCTGCAGAGGGAAGCAGAGAGGGTTTGCTGGTCAGGTTTGCTTTTGGGGGTTCCAGCAGTTTTTAAGAGCCTTTATTTTGCACAACCTCACAGGGTTTGGTTTGTGATGGTCTCCAAGGAGGGTGGTTTCATTGTCCCTCTTTGGAGGTGCATTTCAGCCCTTCTCAACAGCACTTGTCACAGGGACAAAGCTGGTAAGCCTTTGCTGCATCTTCCCTGTGCTGTGCTAACAAGTCCTTGCTGTGCAGGGTAGGGGCAGGGATCTGGCCCAGCACAGGGTGCTCTGCAAGAGCAACTCCACCAGTTTCTTTATTTCTGTCAGCATGTGCTTTGTGCATCATTATTCCACTTTTTTCCTGGGCTAATTCCATCTCTTGCACTTTTTTTATCCCATTAACATCCAATTAAAATCCCATCGTGCTACATCCTACCTCCCTCTCCACTTCTGCCACGGCTGGGACTCTGAATTGTGCTTCCAGCTTTAGTGCAGTTATTATTTCCCCCATCCTGGCTGGAAAGGTGTGGATGTGGTCTGGATTTCTGGTGTGGAAATCCCTGAGGGGAGAAGTTGCAGACAGCTTTATTACTGCTGGTCCTGCTGCGGGCAGGGACCGTGCCCAAGCGCCTGGGGGACTTGAGGAGCCTCTTGGCTGGGAGACATCCATGAGCATGTGGGCTAATGGCAGAAACCCCATTTCTGGGAAGGTTTATCCAATATGCTGGAGCTTGCCTGCGGGATTATCACACGGAGAGCAAACCTGGTTTCTGTTTCCTTTTTGATGCCAGCGTGGAAACCTCAGGCTGGCTTTCCCTGCTGCTTGGAAAGGCATCAACCAACTTCATGTCTGCTCCACAAATGGGTTGTAGCCTGGTTTTCTCCCTCCCTCACCTTCAGCTCAAAGCTGTGACTCCCCAGGAATAGTATTTGGGCTGGGGAAAGCCTCCTACAGAGATCCACAGCACCCTCAACTTGCTGCAACGAGAGGATGGGTAGCAAAAAAGTGGGTGGATGGATGTCCCAGTGGATGGATGACCCAGAAGATGAGGGTTGCATCAGGTGGATATCCCAGAAGGATGTGTGTCCCACTGGATGGATGTCCTGGCAGATGGAGGTCCAGCCATAGACCCAGCCAAGGAAGCCATCTTCATTATAAGGACATGGATCTCTACAGAAAACCTGTTGTTCTCCTTTGAAGACCCACCTGAAGTTTTCAGAAGTCATTGATCACTTTGTTGACTGTTGGGTTGGGTTTAGAAAGCCCTTGGCTGTTACCAGGTAAACTCCCTCACGGAGAATTGCCTCACCTGACTTTTTCCTGAAATTTGACCTTGGGCTCTAATTTCCTGCCTGCTCCATACCTCCACACCCCCAGGAGTGAGTGCTGGCTCTGCCTGACACCATGGAACGTTGATGTTTTCAGTATCAAGATCTTCCTGCTGGTGACAGCTGCCCCAGGGACCACACGTGGCTCTAATTGCAAAGCAAGGAGCAGCACTGCCATCCTGATTTTATGGGTTAGTCATGGTGACAATATTGGATTTCATGGCTGCGAGGAAGAAACAGGAGAAATTAAGTAAATGTTAATGGGACAGGATGGGTTTGCACATTCCTGTTGCACAGGGCATCTCTGGGTTCCAGCTGTGCTCCCCGAGGATGCCCTTCCCTGCATTAGAGAATAAGTGTGTGATTCAGTAAGTGAGAAAGTCAGCTTGATTCTGTCCCTGGCATGAAAATCCACACTGTGTAAGGTGAGAGAAGGACTTGGAAGTGGATGGGAGTCACGGGAAGCTGCTCTTTGGAGTTCAAGGGTGTGCTGCATCTTCTGCCAGTGCTCTGGTGTGTGTCTGGGCACTGCTGCCTCATCCCAGGAGTGTGAAACTGGGCAGAGATGCTGCTTCCATGGTTCAAGCAGCAGTTTTTCATCTAATATCACATTATCAAGGTAGTCACACTAATTGTTACTCATATGTCCTCCAAGGGAACCTCAGCTGGATGGTGGGGCTTCCACCTGATAGGGCCAGGGGTTGGACGTCAGTGATCCTTGTGGGTCCCTTCCACATCAGGATGTTCTGTAATTGATATCCCCTTAATCTGACACTATTAATCTCAAAGAGGGAAGGCAGTATTTTAAGCAGGGGGAGATGCCTGGGTTTAGGATACAGGAGCTAACTCCCAGCTGGAAGCTGTTGAATGGTGAGATCCGACTGGGGCCACGGGGTGGTGACACTTCCAGTGGTGGCATTGCTGGGTGGTTCCAGCCCTGCTGCTGTCCCAGACAAGGCTGTGCCTCCCCAGTGGAGTGACTGGGTTTTGGCTCCTCACATAGAGCTGGGAATAAAAGGTGCTGAGGGGGTGGATTTTTAATTGGGCTGCAGGAGGAGCCCATGAGGAGCCGGTCCCGTTACGTCTGTGTCCATCATTCTTCTCCCAAAGGACTGAGAGGGGATCGAGTGGCAGGAGGTGGAAGCTCAAATAACGACAGGGCAGGGTGACCTGGTGCATGTGGGGATGGTGTGAGAGCTGGGGGGGTCACCCAGCTCATCCCAACCCATCTCCTCCATCCCTTGATGCCAAGGCTGGTGCTGAGCTGCCGAGTCCAAGAGGGGCTGCTGGATCCCCCCTCTCCTTCTGCCATGTGCTTTGGAGGGGAGGGGAAAATTAATAATGCAAGTAAGAGAAGTACTTTCCACTCGTGGTCTGGGTTTAGGATTTCTTCCTTCTTTTCTTGGGTTTATGAAGAGGTCAGAGGTTTGTCCAGAGCCTGCTGTGCCAATGGGCTGGGAGAGTTTATTTGGACACTTGTGGGGCTTTGGGATATAGAAACCTGGCCCTGGATCATCAGATTAAAGGAAAAAGCCATTTCACCTCCTCAGATGGACATGATAGCCAGGGAAGATCTGCTTTATCCCTCCTTGGCTGGCCATGGATTGCAAAGGCTCGTTTTCCCTGACTGAGTAATTAGCTGGGCTTGTTTGCTAAGGACGAATTAAGCTGCTGCAGCGAGTGGGGCTCGGTCCAGGAGCTGCTGGCAGCCCTCACAGCTCACTTCTGCCTCACTTTTTATTTTTCTCCTGCCTTTTTCAATTAATTTCCTATTAATTTGGCTTGGAATGAAGTTCTCAAATGACTGATAAATCTTCTTTAAGCTTAGGAGCTAATCATTCTTGGAGGAAGGAGAGTAATAGAGGGGAGCAAAAAAAAAGTGTGTTAATTTCAGCAAATCTCTCAAATATGAAATGCAGTGAATGGTAAATTGTTCTGTTGGGTTAATAGGAAAAAATCTGCTCTTTCAATATCCAAACCTCATAATCTTCTTGTAATACTGATACACTGGCATAAATATTGGTAAATATTAGTATATCAATACATATTCAACCTTGTGATATAGTTACCCTTCTTCTAATAGTACTTCACGGCATTTTCTTTTTTTTTATTGGCAAATGATTAAGTGTTTTCTGTAAATCTTTAAGGGCCATGAACACTGCCACTAATTAAAGGAGTTTGTATGCTATAGGGGACTCACTATTTAATTAAGTTCATTAGGATTCCTTTTGTCGCCTCCAGCATCAGAGATTGGCAAATGTGACTTAAACTTTTATAAGAGCCTCCCAGTATCCTTGAGGAAATTAAATATTACATATATAGACACATGTGTGTCTGTGGGGTCTGGATCTCACCCCAGTATGGTTCGGTCAACTTACCATTAATTTTTCTTTTCTAACAAGTTTTTAATTCCTGGGAAAGAATTGGGCAGGGGAAGGTGGTGGTTAAGTAGACACAGGCAGTGGGAAAGGGCTTTTTCAAAGACATGGGTGTGGTTGTGATTGTTTTTAGAGGGTTTCTGTAGGAATTTCCTAAGATGGGAAAAAAGTAAGGGAAGTCCTGGTGTCGGAAGAGGCCGAGTTGTCCCAGGAGGAGTCACGTTCATTGAAGTGGGCGAGAAAGGCTCCCAAGAGCTCCTTGTCACAGGACAATGTGAATTTTTGCAGCATTTCCTACCTCATTTTCTGGTTTTTGGTGTTCTGGTTTATCTCCAATGCTTAATGGCAGAATAATTGGTCCAAAGGATTTAATCTCTTGGATTTTAACAGATAAAAATCTCTACAGTCCAAAGCACCTTTCTCTTCCTCCACTATTTAGTCTGATTTTCTCCCCTCTCTTTTTCTCCTCTCACCTTCACACCCCCTCCTTTCCTTACAGCTCCATTCCAAGTACTTGATTTACTGTTCATCTTCCCAGCACACACTTAGAGTAAGAAACAGTAAAAAAAGTAGAGTAAAACCTGTGCACAGAAGTTCACACCTGAATAAACCTCTTCTCAAGACTGTGGTTGTCACAAGCTGGGGTGGGATGTGGGAGCTGCACAGAGCTGGACTGGGGGGGCTGCTCTGATTTTGGGGTTTATCCCAGCACGTGTGCAGGGCTGGGTGATCCCTGCTATCAGCTTATTCTGCCTGAGGGTGCCTGGGGGCAAATAATGGTGTTCTCCCTGCTTACACAGAGGTGGAAATGCCTTTGGAGGGCTCCCAGCCAGAGGAGGGTGGGAGCAGAGCTCCCCTGTGCTGGGTGATGCAAAGGCTCGAAGCCAAGGGTGCCAAAGGTGCATGAAGGAAATTAATTCCCCTTTCAGTGTGCCACAGTCACAGTTTCCTTGTATTTCTTACATTGTCTTTGTTATCCCCACATGTTGAGAGGAGCCCAAATGTTCAGTTTAACCCCCAGATGAAGTGACTCATTGCAGGGAGTAGAAAATACGATGTGGGCTGAAACAGCTGCCTTGATCTCTGTAATCTGGTGGAGAAATCTGGCGTGTGCATGGAGACAGGTTCCACTCATGGTGCTGCATCATCTTCTGGCAGCTTTTGTAGTATACACAGCCCCTGGTGGCTTTGGGGTTGTTTTATTTCTGGAGAGTTTTAGGGGCATTTAGGATTCTTTTTATAATGCAACTTGCAAGTCTCAGTGATTCAATACCATGAGTGCACCAAGAGTTGGAGGGGCAGAGGGTGTTTCATAGCATTCCTGAGTTAGCAGTACTTGCTCAGGGTAGAAAAGCAGGAATATATAATGAAATATTTGTGATGTGATTCCTAAACTGGGCATTATTTTGGTGGGCTGGGGTGTTTCTGGAGCAGGGAGCCACAGGACATTTCTGCAGCACTGCCAAGGACCAGGTTCAGTACTGGGTAAAGCATTGATGTACAGAAGTGACCAAAACTTGTCCTACATGAGATTTCTGTAATTCTCCCTGGATTTCCAGCCTTTCATGGCTGTCCCAGGGTCACTGGTGCAATGAGGAGGGAAAACACGAGGGTTTTGGCTTCCTCTCAGGGCTGTTAAAACGCCCATCACATCCCTCGTGCCTCTGCTCCATCCCCTCATCCCGACACAGCATCCCTGAGCTGGAAGGGGACACTGAGGGAGCCATGCCCTGGGCTCGTGGGAGCGCTCTGGAATCTGCCTCACTGCTAAAAATAAACTGGTTGTGGTTTATTTATCCTGGAAAGGGAGCAGCAGGTTTTCCTGCGCCAGGCCCTGAGGCTGAGGCTGCAGTTTTGCTCCCAAACCTCCTTTTCCAAGGTCTGAGCTGCCCCTTGGAGGATGGGCAGTGATAAGGAGCCGCAGTGGTGACATGATGAGCATTTTGAGGGGTGCAGCAATGGGGGTGAATTGGGCATCTTCTCCCAGCCCAGCTCCCAGAATTGTCATTTTGATGCTTTTTTCCTTGAAAAATAAAAGAGATGGAGTCAAGGGGCTGCCATGCCTCCTGTGCTGGAGTGACCCTCTCTCCCACAGCCATGAAAGCCGACCGCAAGCGCTTGAAGGGGGAGAAGACAGACCTGGTGAGCCAGATGCAGCAGCTGTACGCCACGCTGGAGAGCCGGGAGGAGCAGCTCCGGGACTTCATCCGCAACTACGAGCAGCACAGGAAAGTGAGTGCACAGCCCAGCACCGTGCTCTCGTGGGGGCTGGCAGCAGGCTGAGTGTGAAACCTGGTTTGTAACCGCGAAATCCCACTAAAGCCCCAGCTGGACTCTTGCTGGAGTTGGGATGGACAGCAGTTTAAGGTTAAATGGAGGAAAGAGCCAGACCTGGGGCATTGGATGTAATTTTAACCAGGTGCACAGTGAGCATTTCTTTTTGGGGACCAGTTGCGTTCTGGATCTCCCCAAAAAAGGGTTGACATTCCTGCCAGCTCAGGGCTCTTGTGACACCTAAGATACTGCTCTTGGTTGGGTGGTTCCCAAGGGGGTTGTGACAGAGGGGTTTTTAGTAGCACATGGATTTTCCCTTCCTGATGGCCACCCCTGTCCCAGCAGGAGAGCGAGGATGCGGTGAAAGCCCTGGCAAAGGAGAAGGATCTCCTGGAGCGGGAGAAGTGGGAGCTGCGGCGGCAGGCCAAGGAAGCCACGGACCACGCCAGCGCCCTCCGCTCCCAGCTCGACCTGAAGGACAACCGCATGAAGGAGCTGGAGGCCGAGCTGGCCATGGTGAGCTGGAAAATTTATATAGATCTCAGTGCTTGCTGCAGTGGTTGCACTTCTGCAATACTGAGAGGAAAATATTCCATCTCTCAAAAGGAGCTTGATATCCTTGGCATGGGGAGCATCACTCAAAAATTCATATCCCTGGCATGGGGAGCAGCACAGTTGGGATCTTTGTTCACCCAGGAGAGGGTGGGTTTGGTGTGCGGTGTGTTGCTGCTTGTGCTGCTGCTCTGGGAGATGTTCACATGGTTTTCCCACTCCACCACCACCTCAATGTCCTTCTCCAGGCCAAGCAGTCCCTGGCTACGCTGACCAAGGACGTGCCCAAGCGCCATTCCTTGGCCATGCCGGGCGAGACGGTGCTGAACGGGAACCAGGAGTGGGTGATGCAGGCTGACCTCCCGCTGACCGCCGCCATCCGGCAGAGCCAGCAGACCCTCTACCACTCACACCCCCAGCACTCGGCGGACCGGCAAGGTGGGCACCCCACAGGTGGCAAGTCCTCAGTGCCAAACCCCTTCTGGGGAGGAAAGAAGATGGTCAAAACCACTCCTCCCCGGGTGTGGTTTTGGAAGCGCATCAGAGGCTTTGCTGGTGTTAATTCCCTGTTTTCCCCCTGCCTTGCAGCTGTCAGAGTGAGCCCCTGCCATTCCCGGCAGCCGTCCATCATCTCCGACGCCTCCGCGGCCGAAGGTGACCGATCGTCCACTCCGAGTGACATCAACTCACCCCGGCATCGAACGCACTCGCTCTGCAACGTAAGGGCCTGCCTGGTGGGGCTTTGATGCCCTGCCTTGGGGAGATGGGCTCGGGGCATTCTGTGGGGCCTCTGCTTCCCAAAACAGCACTGGGTTTGCAGTGGGGGGCACGTTGGGGATTAGCTGACCTGGAAAGCTGCTGCCCTGGGGTTTATCCCAGCCCCGCTGCAGTTCAGCTGCACAAATGCTGCCTTTTGCCCTGGGGGTGGAGGGTCTTGGGCTGTATCAGCGTTGATTCAATGGATCCATCTCCTTGTGCCATAGGGGGACAGTCCTGGACCGGTACAGAAGAACTTGCACAATCCAATCGTACAGGTAGGGCACAAATCCTCTCAAATCCTGCTTGTGAGACTCCTTCCTGTGCTAGGAAGTACTTGGGGGTGGTGGGTCAGAGGCACCTATTTGGGGTGAATGGAAGTCATCCGGAATTGTCAGTCTGGGATGTCTCCTATTCCCATAATTTGCCCCAAAGTGCAGGTAATGCCATAGGCATTCAGTGAGCTCAGGCCTATCACAGTGTTGATTTTTATAAGGTCCAGCCAAAGCATTATTCTTCTGTTTGGCACTAAAACACTGGGATATTTTTGCAATCCAGACAGATGTTCTGACTATTTATTCCCAGAGCTGAAATCCTGATCCAGTTGAATTAAAGAGGCCAGAATCCCAGAGCTGTGGAGAGGGGGCCCAATTTCACTGCAAATTCCACCACACAGGTTTCAGGAATATTATGGTATTTTGATCCAGGATCTTAACATTACTTTGGACCTGGATGAAAATATTTTGTGGGATCTGGCTGCAAATATTTTTTGCAACTGGGACCACATGGTCCATCATCCTTGATGTGAGTGAAGGGCAAAAATGGTAAAGGAAAAAACTGGATGCCTAAACTTGTGTCTTCTCCTGCAGTCTCTAGAAGACCTGGAAGACCAAAAACGGAAAAAGAAGAAAGAGAAGATGGGCTTTGGCTCCATCTCCAGGGTGTTTGCCCGGGGCAAGCAGCGCAAGTCCCTCGATCCCGGTCTCTTCGACGGGACGGCCCCCGACTACTACATCGAGGAGGACGCGGACTGGTGACGGCGCCAGAGCCTCTCCTGGCCCTGCACATGTACATATCCCCAGTCCCACAGCCCCGTCCCACCTGTGGACGTGTTACCTGTTGTCTTGGGAGCGATGCAGCTGTGTCGTAACTTCAGTTTTTTTCCCTTTTTTCCGTGGTTTTTTTTTTTTCTTGTTTTGTTTTTCCATCCCGGTAACTCCTTTGTTGTCGCTTCAGTTTGTCCGTTTGGGTTGGGGTTTTTTTTTTCTTGTTTTGGGAGGGTTTTTTTGTTCTTTTTTCTTGTTCTTTTGACAAAACTTGAAACTTGAAGGACTGCTGTGTCTCTGTAAATACGAGAAATATTGTGCACTTTGTGCTTGTGATGTCTCTTGTCCGAAACCGCTGTTTTCCGGAGCCCAGCCTGCGGGATGTCCTCGCTTGGGGACAAAGGACCTGCCCAGCTGAGGGATCTTAGAGAGAAAACACACAAAAACAACAACAAGAAAATCTCCTTCGCTGTGATGTCTTCCTGGCCAAGCCCCACGGAGGCAACCCGGGCTGGTTGTTACGCCTGCCGGTCTGGAAATAAGTGTTTTAACGTTCCTTTTTAGTTGTTTTAATTTATTTGCACAAACCCAGAGGAGCTATTCTAACTAAATTATTGCAGAAGTTTTGGGATTTTTATATTTTTCCACGTCGGTTGGGATGGGGCGGGGAGGAGGAAGGGGGTGTTTGTACTGTACTGTCCTGGGAAGTTGCTGTTGGGGGAGATTGGGGCTGTGGACCCCCCAGCCCAGGCTCCCTCAGCTGCCCCAGGAGCACTTAACGCCTTGGAAAACGCAAACCTAAACACATGCCGGGAGATCAGATGGGGGCAAGCTGGTGGGAGCTTTGCCCGCTGTTTTTCCCTGCTTTTGGGGGGTGCTCACCCTTTGCTTCAAGTAAAATTTAGGGGGATCCGGCACGAGCTGGGAGAAAGGTGATATCCCAAGATATCCCATATCCCAAGATGTTGCTCAGATAGGGCCGGCCACTCCGCTCCAGTTTGGGGTGTTACTGCCGTCAGAGGGGGCTGGGGAAATCGGTACGAGTCCCCACTAGGGAGGTTTTTCTGGCTCTGGGGTGATTTGGAAGCACAGGTGGAGCTTGTTTTTCCAAACTCCTTGGAAATGCCCCCAAACCACCCCCCGGTGCGGCAGCCGCTTCCCCTCTCCACTAACACGTGCCGCGCTCTGCTTATGCCAAGATAAGTACCTTATGCTTTAATGCTTACAGTATAATTTTAAGCTCTTAAAAAAATGTATTAAGATTTATTTAATGAACTATAATAGTGTATTATTTTTCTTAATTCCGATACGTGCGCCCTGGTTGAAAAAAAAAAGGGTATTTTGTCTTAAATCACCGAACTAAACCGATGCCCTCGCGCTGTATATTCCATTCCAAGGGATGATGCAGAGAGGCCATGGAGGGGGTGACAGAGGGACCAGCCCCCCCAGGCTCTCCTGGGGTGGCAGGGCAGGCTTTGCCCCATGGCATCTTTTCTCTGCAGAGAAGCATTTTTATATATTTTGTTGTTTTTTGGGTTCTGTTTTGGTTTTTTTTCCTTTGTTCTCCTTGCGTTTTTATAATTTAAACTCTAAACCATCAGAACAGATGAGCGATCTCCTTGTTATCGAGTAGTTTCCTTTGCATTTCAGCTTTTTTGTAAATTAGGAAGTAATTCTAAAAATTACTAAGAGGATGATTTATTTAAAAGAGAACTTTGCTAAATAGCATATGAATTATGGGTAACATTAGATTTAACTTTTCCTCCTGTGAGCGGGGGAGAATCCTTGAAGGCATGGATGCAAATATAAAATTATAAAAGATCTAAATAAAGCTTATTTTAAAGTATGGATGAACTCCATGTGGTTTAATTGGAGAGCCTGGATGGGTGTTGGCATCTCTGTCGTGGCACCAGGGTGCAGGACACCGTGAGTGCCACGGGAATTTCGGGGGCTCCAGGGTGATGGGAGAATTCAGGAAGAGGCTGGGCCAGCTTTTCCCAGGACCAGCTCCCAGCCAGATGCCTGCTTCTGGATGCAAGAATGCTGGCAGGAGGCTGGCACTGTCTGCATCTGTATGAAATGGGGATTTCAAGGGTTAAGGTAAGTAAGGACAGCCAGGAGATGTCCCACTCAGATATGGAAAATATGAGAAGGACTAAGAACAGCAGAAAATGGAGAAATCAGAAAGTGTTATGGTCCAACTGGATAAATTATTGTTATTGATGTAGAGGTTGATAAGTTATTATTGTTACTATTATTCAGATTACATTGGTCATCTGTAGGCTGTGCCAGCACTTCCAGTGGGGCCTGATAACCATTTTGGGGTCAATGGCTGTTTTGCAGGCAGGAGCAAAGGCAACCTGCAATGAGTTTCAAGCCCACAGTCAGGGTACAGATCAAGGGATACACCTTTTCTTTTTTCTCCTTTTTTTCTGACAGAAACAGTCTCCTGGGTTTGGAGCAGCTGCAGAGCAGGTAAGAGCCACCATAGTCTGAAATGGGGAGAGCTGGAACAAAGAAAAATAAACTCAGGAGAAGCCAGCTGGCTCCCCAACTCTTATCACCTGCAGCTGGAATCCAGCATTAAAGGGAACTACAGGTGGCATTAAAGGGCAACTGCTGAGCACGGCAAACATGAGCTGGGCACACACCATGGTGGGATTTGCTGCACTTGGAGCGGTTCCCTGCTGAGATTTGGTGTCGTCCTTTGTGCATGGGATGGGGTACGGGTGCTCATCCAGCCCATCTGTGGTTTTAAAAGCTTTGGGAGCCAGGAATGTAGAGTGCCACACCAGTTCTGGTAAGGCTTCTGCCCTGTGCTGTGCGAACCATGGCAAACCCCGTGTAGGGTGACACGGGTCACCTCCTGCACCCAAGCCACGGCAAGCAGAGAGGCCACACTCCCTGTGTCTGTGATGTCCTGGGCTGAGGAGGGGCTTCTTGGTGGCTTTGTTCCCCCGACCTCCTCTTCCCTGGCAGTGGAGGCTGCAGGAGCCTCACCCCTGCTGCATCCCCCGTCAGCCTTATCCCTACTGCATCCCCCATCAGCCTCGTCCCTGCTGCATCCCACATCAGCCTCATCCCTACTGCATCCCCCGTCAGCCTCATCCCTGCTGCATCCCCCGTCAGCCTCGTCCCTCCTGCATCCCACATCACCCTCGTCCCTGCTGTATCCCCGCCGTGCTGGTTGTGCAGCACCGTGCTGCGCTGCTGCCACCGTGTGAGCAATCCCCGAGTTCCTGTTTGTTTTAGGTGGGACCGCCCGCCTTGGTGCACTTTGCACCGCGCACCTTTTCTCTGGCGAGGACTTTAGACTGAGAAAGGCAAATATCCCAACGCCACGTGGGGGCATGGGGTGTTGTGTGGGGTGGCCGGGTACCCCACAGAGGGTGCTGTCCCCAGCACCTCCTGGTGTGTAACCCAGCTGTGCCGGTGCTGGCATCATCCCTGGGTGACATTACAACAGAAGCCGGGTTTACCTGCCGTGCCACAGCCTTGCACTGGTAACCTGGGGATGAGGAATGGGGTTGAGAGGTCACAGCACAGAAACAGGGGTGAGTCTGGGACATTTCCTGCCTCTGCACTGACTCACCCCATAGCTTTAGTTGGTGATCTCCCCGGGCTGGATTTTTGATGATAAAGAGCTAAACTGATGTACCCCAAACAGTGAAATAAATCATCAGGAGGTTGGTGAGGTTTGGCATGGGGTGGGTCACAGAGTGTCGGTGATGGGGATCTCCCCAAAAGCTGGTGTCAAGGGCTGCTGCTGAGGCTGCTGGTTTACTGCTCAGGACTGCTGAAAATTTGGGAATGTGCCTGTCATTAATTCACGTGTTTTCAGTGTTTTCCCTGGAGGAGTTTTCCCCTGGTGCTGCTTTTACAAAGCCAGCACTGGAAGCGTCGTTGAGCCCTCACCTGCGCAGCCCAGGGCATGCAGCAGTGCCTGACAGTATCCCTCACTGCAGACATCCTTTGGGACATCCTGCTCTGCCACTCTCCCTGCAGCTGTCCCCACGTCAGCCCCTGTCTTACCTTCCCACTGCCCCGACCTGGCACAGCCACGAGCATCAGCAGAGCACGAGTGGCTGCACTCCATCCAGCCAGGACACTGGAGCTGTGACAAGGCCTCCTATCCAGGTAAGAAGGTTTCCTTGGAGTTTTATCACTGCTAGTGATTGATCTCCCAACATGTTCCTGTTCTTGGACAACAGCTCTCATTCACCATCTGCTTCTAATTTTGAACAGCTACATTAATCTCTGCCCAACTCTTTTAAACAACCAGCTGCACAACGCCACCGTAGCCCTTCTCTTCCAGCTGTGTTCTCCTCAAGCCCTGGCTCTCCTATTCCCAGATCCTGCCCAAGCCAAAGCTTCACCAATGGGATGCAGCAGCCCCAGAGCAGCTCCAGGAGGAAGCAGCAGGTTATTTACTATTATTACTGTGAACACAGCGGCTTTATTTACACAGTTTTCCAGCTGCAGACGTGCAAGTGCTTGAAGCAGCAGACGGTGACCTGGCACGGTGGTTGGACTGGTTGGACTGGAACTGCCAGGTCCCGGCAGCCCCGGGGACACCGGCTCCTCACCACACCAGGAGATGCTGGCAGGTCGCACCCTCCCACCGGGAGCGTGCGGAAATGCCTCCCAAGTAGCTGCTTTTCCTCTTTTTTCCCACTTGCGTGGCAGGTTCCCAGCCTGCAGCCCGGCAGGACTCTAAATTGGGGTGCAGGAACTAAGGCATGAGAAAGAGAGAGAAAAGTATAGAGCAGTGTGTGTGGGCTGGGAATGGGATCTGAGGAAGCCCATCATGGAGCAGGCTGGGATGGGCTTTCATCCCTGGGGGCAAAGCTGGGGCCTGCCATGTTCCATTATACATTATATTTATACATAGATGTATATTATATTTCTGGTGTTTGTTAGCTGTTAGCTCTATTAATCATCAAATCACAGAATAGTTTGAATCGGAAGAGACCTTAGAGACAATGTCATCCCACCTCCTGCCATGAGCAGGGACACCTCCCAGTATCCCAGCTTGCTCTAAACCCCATCCAGCCTGGCCTTGAACACTTCTGGGGATGGGGCAGACAAAGTTTCTCTGAGCAACCTGTGCCAGGGCTCCCCCACCCTCACAGGGAAAAATTTCTTCCTCATATCTAATCTAGATCTACATTCTGCCAGTTTGATCCCATATGACCTTGTCCTATCACTCCATGGCTTTACAATATAATAATATTACAGTATAATAGAAATGTACAGTCTGGTGGCTCTACTGCCCTGACTCCCAGGGATGGGCTTCACCTCTTCCAGGACAAGGCATCCAGCTGTGGGTGTCCAGGGGTCACTTGGAGCAGTGCTTTTGCCTCACTGTTGGGAAGTTTTGGAGGAATCCAGGAACATGTCCAGGCTTCCACTGGTGACTTTAACATACATATTGAGCACCTTTGAGCAGGAAAGAGCAGGGAAATGTGCCAGTGAGCAAGTTCTAAGGCAGGATAATGTGAGCCCCTGGCACCTCTGCATGTAGCAGGGTATCAGATGCTCCTCTGAAAGGCCCTTTTTTTGCCTGCTGGTGGCTCTGGTGGGGCTCCAGTTTCCTCCTTGGCATTCCTGTGCTCTGTACCCTGCATACCTGGCTGGATAATCACCCTGGAGAAGTCCCAGCCTGGGACTGGACAGGGAGTTTTTGCAGGGGGAAGATTTGAGCTGCCAGAGATAAATCCCCACACTGGGATGGCTGCAGAGCTGGAAAGGAAAAGGAGCCCAAGGGATGGATGTGAATACATTATCCCACAGAGAGTGTGTGTCAGGGAGAGGCAGGTGCTTTAGCAGCCATCCAAGGGGTGAAGGCAAGCCCCCCCTTCCTTGATCCTGCTGCACTGCCACTGAAAAGCCATTCCTGGCCAATATTCAGCTTTGTGGAGAGGGAACCCGAGGAACCACGTTATGAATGTCCCCTCTGTGCTCACGGTCCCCAGGGCCTCTGCAGGGGGGTGACCTGGCTGGGGCACGGAGCTCTCCCTGCGCCGGATCGGTGACAGTCACTGTGTGAAGTCCCCCCCTTTCTTACAGAGAAAACAATTCCCTGTTATGTCTCCCGACCGCCAGAGCTGCTTGGGATGTTGGGTTTCTGTTTGACACAGGAAGGTGGAGAAGGAGAGGGAGAAATCCACCTGAAGTGGGGCGAATTTGCCTAAGCCGGGAGCCAAGTGGAAAAACGCAAAACAATCCATCCAAGGGGGAAAAAAAATGCAGTTATGTTTAATAATTATTTCTTTTTATAGCACAGCTCTTGGAATTGCCCTTTGATTAGAGCGGGGAGGTATCACAGGCAGGTGAGTCAGTGGAAAATACCATCAGCTCCATGTGGGATTGTGCTCGTAGGGAGAGATGCAGGGAAGCAGCGGGGCTTTCCCAAGCATCCTGAACACCAGTGGCCCCAAGGCAGGGCTGTGGAGCTGAGTCACGCCGGGTGATGTGACAAGTTTCATTTGGTTCACGATGGCTTTTGCCTCCACAAGGTCTCGCAGGGCTTAAGGGACAGGAAAAACTGCAGTGGCTGGTCCAGCAGCATAGTGATGCAGTTTTTTCGCTTGGATCAGGAAAAAACCCACCCTGAGTATCATCTTTAACAGGATTTGAGTCCTTGGTGGTGTTTATTATTGCAGCTGGGTGTGAGAAGAGCCTGGAAAAACACATCCTCATTGCTGCTGGGATGGCAGCCAAGGAGAGGTGACACTGGACACGGCATTAGTTGCACTGAAGTTTGCCAGAGCTCAGCTCTGCTCCCCGTGGTTCAGTCTGGAAACCATGGGAATGTCTGGCTATGAGGCAAAGGCATGTGGCC